GCCCTCTGTCAAGTTCTCCAAGGTGTCCTTGACCCCAGACAGGTTCAGAACCAGAGGCGTAGGTCATCAGTGGGGCAGGGTCCCCAAAGGCGGGGCCTGCTAATTGTCCCTCGAGATTCATGTCGCCTTGTGCTTGCAGTGCTGGTGAAGGGCCAGGTCACCACGAAGTACTACCGGCTGCTGTCCAAGCTGGGCGGCTGGGTGTGGGTGCAGAGTTACGCCACCGTCGTGCACAACAGCCGCTCGTCCAGGCCCCACTGCATCGTGAGTGTCAATTATGTCCTCACGTAAGTCAGACGTATTTGTTTCTCTCCTTGCTCTCTCTGCTCCCCGGTCCTTCATCCGATCACCCCAATAAGCACCATCGCTCTCTCCCTCTCTCTCTTCCTGGAACTGTTCATTTGTCTCCTGTTTTGTTTTTATTTGAACCATCTGGTCGACTGGGAAGGTCCAGACTATTCTGTACTCAGCATTAAGGGCCAGGTGCTAGGGAAAAGGGACCCAAGCCCGGGTGTGGGCTGTGGGTGGGCAGAGGGTGGGCAGGGGATGCCCCCACCTTGAAGATGGACAAGGGACGTAGGTCCTAGAAAGGCATACCAACTTACGCTCTCCATGCCCACGACACACGTCTGGGGCATGTTGTGTGCGCCTGCCATTTGGGACAGGGGATAGCTTTCATTTTTTCCCCTGTCTTCCTATATAGCCTGTTGCAAATGACAGTGAATATTTTGTCCCTTTAAAACCCCAAAAGGTCAAGTTTAGCGGCAAATAGTTTCAAGACCATTAGAAGCGACAGAACATAAGTCTGCTTGGGACCATACATGACTCTCTGCCCACCATGCTATTAGACATTCGGCCACCTTGTGCCCAGCTCTGGCCCTGAACGCGATGGCCTCGTAGTCCCCCAGCTCTGCCCTGAGCAGAGCCCTCACGTGTGTCCTAATGGAGGGAGGGTCGAGGTGCTATGTTCTTTCTTAGAATGATACCAGGTTGCTGTTTTTTGTTTTCATTTTTGTTGTTTTAGAAGTAGAGTGATTTTAGCAAAACTGTAGGGGAGAAAGCATTTTAGCCCCTTAATGATATTTCCTGAGCAAACAGATGTGGGCTGGTACTTCCGGTGACTTCCCCTCTCGTGAACATGATGGCACTGAGTTCGCTCTTTCGGGCAAAAAATGGGCCCTTGGAAGCCAGGCTCCTGGACCCTCAAAGGCTCCCCACTCGTGCCTCTCTGGGTGCCCCGCAGAGGAGCAGTCAGCCCCCAGACGCTCAAACCGGCAGTGTTTCCGCCTCTCCTTTTCGCCCTGACGTCCTTCCTAGTGGCCCATGGCAGCCCAGGAACCGTGTTGGTGGCCTTATGGGACTGGAGAATGCTGCACTGACCCCTTCTCTTCCTGCCAAGTGACAACGCCCTCGCTCGTTATTTCTGGGGGCGCCACGCCCAGGGCTGCACGGTGGCTTTTATGACCAGGGTGACCTGGCCTTCCCTTAAGTGCCACCCACATCTGACCTCAGTGGAATGATTCACGGTAGCTTCGAGGATGAGCTTGCTCGGGGGTGGTGTCCAGGAGCCGCTCTGCCGCGGCGGCCTGCTGGACACGACTTGTCCTGCTCTCGTCTCTCAGGGATATCGAATACAAGGAACTGCAGCTGTCCCTGGACCAGGTGTCCACGTCCAAGTCCCAGGACTCCTGGAGGACCGCCTTGTCTACCTCACAAGAAACTAGGAAATTAGCTAAACCCAAAAGTACGAAGATGAAGACAAAGCTGAGAACAAACCCTTACCCCCCACAGGTAACACACGCGTCCTGCAGGGGTGGGGTGCGGCTGACACCTGTGCCAGGGGGCTCAGGACACCTGGGCACATTGAGGGACAAGCAGACTCGGCGGCCTAGCATTGGTCTCCCTGCGCAGAAGGTTCACTGTGGAGTGAAGCAAATTCCCTCCGGGATGTCCCGCCCGCGGGATAAAGACGCGGTGCAGAGCTCGCAATCGGGCCCAGAAGGCAGACTCGGCCGGCCGGGGAGGCGCGGCAGTCTGCTGGGGCCCCCGAGAGTGAGGGCCAGAGGGCAGGCGCTTTGTTTCCACGGCATTTTGTTTTTTTAAATGAAAAACTCCCCTCTCTCTTTGTTTAGGTAGTAGCCAGTGGCTAAGTGGCTACGCATATGTGCTGTGTTGTCACCTTGGGGTGGGGAGACCCCTTTGCACCCAGGGGGCGGGTCGCTGGGGTGCTGGTTGCCTTGGACCTGTCCCCCGTGGGACCTTGCGGTGGTGGCTGGGTCGGGCACCGGAGGCTGGGCCGTGTGAGGCGGGAAAGTCAGTTCCCCGCCAGCCCCCAGCGGCCCTCCCTCTGTCTCCTTTGCCCTGCAGCAGTACAGCCCCTTCCACATGGACAAACTGGAGTGCGGCCAGCTCGGGAGCTGGAGAGCCAGCCCCCCGGCCACGGCTGTGGCGCCCCCCGAACAGCAGCTCCATTCAGAAGGTGGCGACCTTCTGTACGCCCCGTCCTACAGCCTGCCCTTCTACCGTTACGGACACTTCCCTCTGGACTCTCACGTCTTCAGCAGCAAAAAGCCAATGTTGCCGGCCAAATTCGGGCCGCCCCAAGGATCCCCGTGTGAGGTGGCACGCTTTTTCCTGAGCGCGCTGCCAGCCAGTGGCGAGTGCCAGTGGCACTATGCCAACCCCTTAGTGCCTAGCAGCCCGTCTCCAGCTAAAAACCTCTCGGAGCCGCCGGCGAACCCCGCTCGGCACGGCCTCGTGCCAAACTACGAAGGTGGGTCACGTTTGCTCCAGGGGAGGGGGCAGGGCTGGGAACGGCAGCGGTGGGTGGCACATGGAAAAAGGACCCTCACACTTTGGGCAAACTGCTCCTTTTTCCTGCTTCTAAGCGGGAGTGGCTACGCTTTGCTGCTCTCAGTGCAAATGCTTCATGAGCATGAGAGAAGCTGGGTGACCGAGTCCGTGTGCCTCGTGGGCGTGAGTGACAGACAGCGTAAAGGGCATTGGACACCAGGCGTTCAGCCACCCGCCCTAAGATACTGGCCTCGTTGGCTCCCCAAAAGGGAGACAAAGGGATTTTCAGAACCAGCTTCCACGTACTGAGAAGGGCCCAGCCGCATGCGTTTTACATTACGTTCCGCTCCACCCCCGAACGAACACACGGGAGGCCTGGTTTTCTTCCCACGCCAGTTTGCAAAGTGCGGAAAACCGTGGTGTCAATTCATGGGCTCAGGGACAGAAATGCCGCTCAGCAGCCCAGGGCAGATAACGTCCCTGCACCAGGACTATTTCTTCTCGTATAAATGGGGTCATAAGCTGTGGAGTGTGCCCACCCCAGGGCTCGGACACTCTGTTTCACCTTGACCCAGCTGCTGCTCTGCTCGCAGGATAGACCAAGGTGGAGCAAATGTCCTGTAGGGGCCCCTACGTGCTGGGGAAATGCAATGTGCCCCAGACTCACCTGCTTAAGAGGAGAGCTCCCTCCCCGGGGTCCCCTCTCCCCGCTTTGTTCCTCTCTTTGGAGGCAGGTAGGGCTCTGCTTGTCTTCGGGCTGCTTTGGGAAGCTCTCGCTCCGGGCTCTGGCGACTTTACAAGGCTGTGAGCGTGGGAGAAACCGAACCCTCCTGGAGATGACCAGGACGTTTTTCGAAAGTAGCCAGTTTGAGAAAAGAACAGCCCAGCCTGGCGGCCTGTGCCTGTCCCGGGAGCCACCGATTTCTCAGACTGGGATCCTGAATACTCATAAGTGCACGAGTCCCTCAGATAACGAAGGAAGGGCTCCCCGATGTCTCAGGAAAGAAAAAGGGTTTGATAACCGCTGAAACTATTCTCCACTTGTGAGCGACTTGAAAGAATCCGTTTTCTTTGTGCATGGAAGTTGGCCAGCCATACTACTACACAGCATTTGATTTTCCAAATTGCTATTTTGAAAGTGACAGAGGTTAATAACCACCTCATTTGTCACACACTTGGTAAAATTTGAACCAAAGGTGCTAATTTGGGGCAATTTGTGATTGACTTCCCCTCTTTTTTTTTTGATATTAAAGACAAAGGTTGTCTTAAGGTAAAAAAACATAGGGACTAATTGATTGCAGGCAAGGCTGATTACCAGTCCCCCGTCCACATGAACGCATAAGCCAAAAATCGGGGCTGACTGGGCCGCCTAACTCCAGGGCGGTGGAAGCCTCCAGACCAATGCTGTCCAACTCGGTAGCCACTAGCCACTTGTGGCTGCTGAGCGCTGAGGTGGCCAGAGCAGCGAGATGTGCTGTAAGTGTCTGCATTGCATTTCGAAGACAGAAACAGAATGAAACATCTCAATCATCTAAAAATATTGATTACCTGTTGAAATAATATTTTGGCGATGTCGCATTAAGTCTGTTACTAACATGCATTTCACCTGTTTCGCTTCACGCTGTAATGCGGCTACTAGAACATCTTAAACCGCCCCTCTGGGTCGCACAGC